ACAACTCTGCAATGTTGGCAAAACAAAATCTGGGAACACTTTGTATATGGTAAAATAGTCTCTCACCAAAAAGATTTTCAAGCAACTTGGTTCCCAGCAGTGGAATATCTCGCAGAAGAAGAAGTGATTCCAAACAACTCTTATTACAAAGACCTGTTATATTTTTAAAAGGCTCTTACGGGTTGAGAATGTTGATTATTGCATGGTATTAATATGTGTTCTGAATGTACTGTTGAATATGTTGTTCAGAATAATACAAAACACTTATTAAAAAAAAATCCACAACAATACCACAACAATATCGCTGCAAACTGCTGGTGTGGCCACAGCCTCAGGGACGGCAGCCTGTTCTTGCAAGAGAACAAACAGCAGAGGAGCAGGCACCCAGTCCTGTCCATGAACACTGATGGCACCACTGATGAGTGACACCAGTGGCCACAATCCAGTTTGGACACTCTCACAGGCCTAATTTAAAGGTGACTCTAGGCATGTCTTTAAAAGAATACCACTTACCAACTGAGGCAGAAGATCTGCTGACCTAAGCTCTCACTGCCCAACAGTGGGAGAAGAATTAAAAATCACCATTGTCATGGCATCACATCACTTCCGGGGAAATCCATATGGTTTTGGCAAAGAGTTTGCAGCAACTCCTAGAGTGGAGTGATGTCACTTCCAGATTTTCCCTGGAAATGATGTAATACTGTGTACTGACGGCACCTCCCCCATGCCCCTGTCCCTACAGGCTCCTGCCAGTTGCCAATGACCTGCTGCTGGATGGCAACCCTACACATGATTGACATTTGTAGGCACTGGTGCTTATGCACATAGTTTTAGTGTGGCATGCAGCCTACATTTAAGCCAAGGACTCCTAGCATGCTAGAACTGCACATGGAGGAATTATAACCCAATTTAAATTTGACTCCTGCCACTTATAACTCCACACAAGTTTTGTTTGGGGGGGAAATACACTCCTCACATGACTTTAAAATCAGGCCACTCTCTTATAAGGTGGAATTCATTGCCTCAAGATGTGGCAATAATATCTGCTTTAGACAGCTTTACAAGGCATTAAACCAAAGATCCCACATGTGTTTCCTGGTGCCCATTTGCCTGGTTTCTGGAGGCAATGTGGTGGAGCAGCTGAAGTGTCAGACTAAGATTTGGCAGACCCAGGTTCAAATCCCCCCTTTGCTACAGGATCTCTCTGGGTGACCTCTCTCAGCCTCATCTACATCACAGGTGGTTGTACTAAGGATACTAGGGAGGAGGGAAGAGCAATACTGTGATATTGTAAGGCGCTTTGTGAGAAAAGTGTGATATAAATATCTAAATACATAAATAGTTCTACATCCCACACTTCTCCCTCCTCACATTCAGTTAATTCTCACTGCTTTCTTTTCTACTGTTGTTCACTTTTCCATCCTCTCCTCCCTCTTTATCTGCCCTTCTTTCTGTTTTGAGTTGTCTGACCATCACTTGACACTACACCACTACTCCACTTTGCTTACAGGTATGCTGAAGCCAACAGGAAGATGGGAAAGGTGAGCTAAAGGCGGCAGGACCAGCTCTGAGGAAAGCCATGGAGTAACCATCCTTAAAAGTCCCACCTCTCCTCCAGGGCTGGATGAGAGAGGGTGAGCAAGCCTCCATTTAATAGGGATGAAGAAAACTTTTCTGCTTTTGGATAGAGATTGTGTGGCTCTGGAAAGGAGTGTCACCTTAGCCAGGATAGTATTTGGCTTTTAGTTAGGGTTTGGGGGTCAGCTTAGGGAAGAAAGCTTATTTTAGTGTGACAAATAGGCACCCTGTTAATGGCCTGTCATTTCTAACTGATGTGTGTCGGTTCTGTGGTAAGGTGCTCCATGAGCGAAAAGAGTAGCCTTGAACCTGCTGAGGTAATCTATCCAGAGAAAGGGGAATCAAATCTCCTCTCAGGGGTTATTTACTTGAGAGCCAGCTTTATATTTTTAAGTTATCCATACATCATATTTACCTTATTAAATACTTTCTTTTCTGTTTTAATAAACTTTGTTGTTCACCTCCATCTGTATCTTCATCTGTCAATTCAAATACCTAAGAAAATGTGATCTCTGTTTATCCCACAAATAGCGTACAGCCTTGTTCTAGCAGGTTTCCAAATAAGAGGCCTTTAGGGAACACATGGCTTACATGCTACCAATCTTTAATTTAAAGCTTGCGTTCCGCTTTTTATTTGATTGTGGACAGTTGGAGTATAAAGAATCTGTCAGAGAGGCCAGAGTGGAAGACGGGATATTCTGCCGTCCAGAAGGCTGCTGCCTCACAGCCCCCCCCCCCCCACCTCACAGCCACCCCAGCCAGGCTAAATCTGTCTCCCGAACAGTCTAAGGGCCTGACTCTCCATCCTCACTGGTATTTTGTGTGGGAAGGGACCCTCATTACGAGAAATGAATATAAGTAGAGCCAGATGAGAAAAGGAGGGATAAGGCGGAACGGCATGTTTATTATGCCCCCTCCCTCAGGCAGGGAAACCCACTCCACCCTCCTAGCAACTGCCACATTAAGAATCTCCAACTTACACACAACCACTGTATACAGTACTGGGCTTGTCTGGGTTCCCGTGTCAGAATCCCCATCCCACAAAGACTTGTGTTTGGTCATTATAGCCACTCACCAGTTTACTGCAATTAATCTTGCCATTACACACAAAAAATGAAATTTCTTATTTGTCCCTGAGTATTTTATTTAATTGATTCAGGGGGAGTGCACGCCAGCCCTCTGTGGGAGCATTTGGTGGTGGTGCCCACTGCGCTTTCTCCAAATTCCAGAGTTCAGGTTCAACAAGATTGGGGGCCCCACATGCAACATATGCAAGAAGGATAAAACCCTATAAATGTCCATTAAGCTGCTATAAATGGATCATTTCTTGCAATATTCCAATAAATGGAACATCTTTATTTATTTACTTAATTTATACCCTGCCTTCCTCCCCAACAGGGACCCACAGCGATTTATACCGTTCTCTCCTCCATTTTATCCTCACAACAACCCTGTGAGGTGTGTTAAGGTGATTATGTGCAACTGAGCCAAGGACTCACTGTTCCCTCTAAGCTGAGTTAGCTCAGTTTTTTAGCCTCCAGCTCACACATTTCTGTCTTAGCTCAGGAAGGATGGCTCCAGAGCAGACTAATTTATGCAGTAGCCAAATTGCTTGCTCACAACTTTAATGCCAGTAGCTCAGAAAGTAGAATTTTTGCTCACAAGACTCCACCACTTAGAGGGAACATTGGCCAAGGTCACTCAGCATCAAGCTTCCATGGGCAGAGCGGGGATTCGAACCTGGGTCTCCCAGATCCTAGTCTGATGCTGTAACCAGAGCAGACATTGGTCTTTTATGCATTTCTTAAATTGAAATTGGGGGGGGGGGGGGAAATAAAGATAAGAGCCACATCGTAAGCACAACAGAATGAACCTTCCCCACTTTCTTGTAGATCGACACCGGTCCCGCCTTGCCTGGGAGAAGGGGTTATTGGCCCTCGAAGGGGAGGGGACTTTCCATCTTTGCCTTTTCAAGGCTGGAGGAGGGTGGTGTGTGAAAGCTCGCAACGGGAATGAATGACCCCCATTCTACCCAGCACGGGGGACCGCAAGCGAATGCCCACCGGCGCCAACCAGGGGTTTGGTTCCTCGAGGTAGTAAAAACTGACTGCCACTCGCAGGGGCCAAACGACCAGAACTCCTCGGTTTGTGCCTTCCGGCCTCCCCGGAAGCAGCGGCCTATCCCAGTGCTGGAAAAGGGCGGCTGGACGTCGAGGATCTTTGTAAGGCTTCGCCTGGCGGCGCGAGGGTCTCCTGACTGCTCACCCCCTCCCTTACCGCCCCGCCCGCTCTCCCACGAGCCGCTGAAGCTCGGTCATAGCGGGCAGCGGAAGCGAAGGCGGGATTTGGGGCCGGAGAGCGCCTGGCGCTGGAGGGCTACGAAAACAGCGTAGACGCTCCAGAAAGGCGGCTGGCGCCGAGACAAACGACCGGCGCCGCTTTTCAGGAACGCGGCGGTAAGCTGCTCAGAGTGCGCGCGAAGGGAAGGAGTCGGGGCGAAGAAGTGCGCGCGGCGGCCAGAAGTCCCGCAGTAGGCAACGCGCCCACGTGCTCGGGGAAAGCCAGGGCAGCCACAGCGCGCGTTGAACTTGCACACACCGAGGGGCATGCGGACACGTGGTAAACCACACGCACGCACCTGCCTTCTTGCGAGACTGTCGCTTTCTTCGGAAGCACGCCGACGGTCCTCCGCTGTTGCCTATCTCGTGCTGTCGGTCGGGCTACAGCAGTTAGCAGTTCCCACGAGGGTGGCTCGGCCCTTGTCCCACCCATCCCCTGCACGTTTACTCAGAAGTAAGCGACCCTCCCTGATTTCCATAGGAGGTCCTCCCTGGGAAATGCGCACGGGCTGAGTGGCGTCAGGTCAAACCCCAGGAGTTGGAAGAGATTTGCTCCCCAGTTTAGGACTGGAGTTTTCATGCACGGATCTCGGGAGTCTCCCCTCTTTCGACTTAAGTCCATCCCCCTTTCCCGCCCCGGTGTGCTGCCATGCGCGTAACTCTGCAACTTCCTCGCTCTTTCGCTGGATGCTGGGCAGGTGGCGGCGGCGGCTGATCTTTTGGCAGGCGGCGGACTGGCGATGGCTCTTAGTGCACCTCCCCGCTTCCGGGGAGCTGGCCCGGGATCCGGAGCAGGGCAGCAGAGAGGCGCACGGGACTTCCCCGCGTGAGGCTGCGAGGCAAAGCCGGCTGGAGCGGCACGGAGAGCAGCGCGGCCGCCGGCGGGGAAGGCGAGCCTGCCTCGCAGACGCCGCGCGGCTATGCCGGGGCACGGCCAAGGGGCGCTCCAGTGAGCCCGGCGAAATCGCCCTCCTGTGAGGATCCTTTTCAGGAAACGGAGCGAGCCCCGCTCGTTCTCTCCGCCGCCGCCCCCATTGCTTCGCGGGGCAAAAAGACCCCCATGACCCAAACCGTTCGCACGCCATGAGACCCGACGACATCAACCCTCGCACCGGCCTCGTGGTGGCTTTGGTCAGCGTCTTCCTCGTTTTTGGCTTTATGTTCACGGTGTCTGGGATCAAGGGGGAGACGCTCGGCGACATCCCTCTGCTGGCCATCGGGCCGGCCATCTGCTTGCCGGGCATCGCGGCCATTGCCCTGACCAGGAAAACCGACGGCTGCACCAAGTGGCCGGAGACCAGATGCTGCCCCACCGGCCGCTGCTGCTGCCGCAGGAAGCCCAAAGACAAAGACGCCCTGGAGCTGCTGAGGACCCCTTCCGACCTGGAATCGGGCAAGGGCAGCTGCGATGAGCTGGCGAAGGAAGCCTATGCCACCCTGGAGAGGACAGCCATTCCCGAGGGAGGCAGGGAGGATGTTGCCCCTGCCCCCGCCACTGCCACCACCGGCGCCCAGGAGGGCAAGGACTTGCTCAGCAAAGTGGATCCGGAGGAGATGCTCAGGTACTTGGAAAACTGTTACCCGGAGATGCCTGGGAATGTATTTGTGGCCGAGGGCAGCCCTTACAGTGCCTTGGACAAGCCAGACTCGCTGGGCTTGGAAGGGGTGACTCCAGACACAGAGGACAACATTTTCGTTGCCCCAAAGGACAGCATCATCGTCTGCTCCTACAAGGAGAACAGCCCTTACGACAGGTACTGTTGTTACATAAACCCCAGCGAGGAAATCTGTTCCGATCACGATGAGACGACGATTGTTTGAGAGGACCACCAGGTGCTTTCTCCCTAGAGAGAGGGAGAGAGATTTTAATTTGGCCATGTACTTCTGACAATAATGGACACTCCCAACCTTTGGTTCTGGAAATATATATATATTAAGTATTGGCTCGTTTTTGCACTGCATGGGACAATCCTCAGCTCTTAACTTTCAAGCCTGGTATGTGACTGAAACGCAAACCTTTAGTGCCTGAAATACTTAATTCCCCCTTTCCCTTAAGTAATAATTAGCATGTTTATGGAGGATCGGTCCTTTTTTAAAAAAAAGATTTAGGATGAGAACAGTTTGTTGCATTTATGCTGTTTTTGTTAGAAAACATTGCAGGAAGTGGAGGTGAAGATTCCAAAGTTCTCTTGACAGTTCATACCATGGCAGACTTCAGAATTTAGGGCCAGACTGCTGGAATTCCAGGACTGGGGTCATTTGGCTCTGGGAGAGTGGGGTGGAGCAGTAGCCGGGATCAACTTTTGTTTCCCCTGCCCAGTTCTACTCAGAAGCCCAGGCAGGCATGAGAATCTGGAGGTACTCCAGGGCTAAAGAGATTCAGAGTTTGATGAAGACATTCTTTCTGTGCACCGGGTTACGTCCAGCATTAATTTAATTTGCGTCTAGAACTTCCTTTTCTTTGTTCTGTTTTTGGTGCATCTAGTCCACTGTAAGTGGCCTGTGCTTAACCCGAGGCAGTCTAAAGTACTGGCCTGAATTAAGAAACGGTATCCTAACAAACACCCCATTTCAGCTCTGGGGTCCCATTCCATATTGCCCCTCCTTCCTCCACAACTGCTTGCTAGTGCCAGATAACTGATCTGAATTTCCAGTCACGGAACACCATTTCTTACTGCAAAAGAGAGAGCTTCTGAAGTCTCCCTGTCCCTTGATTTCTGCAAGCAAGGGGAGGAGGTGGGTCACCATTCAGTTAGCGATATATTTTTTGTGCTTAAGGCTTAACGCTGGGGGGGGGGAGCAGCGTGCATTTTCTTTTTCATCATCTTAAAGATCAGGTGGGCAAGCTGAGGCAGATCAACCTGCATCGCCCTGCGGTAAGGTGGTGTTCAGAACTCTAGAAGAACTCAAAGTGAACAGCTGGTGGCACATAGTTCTATAAAAGGTGCACATATCATCTTCTTCAGCATTTAAGGAATTTGCTCATTTTGAAAAGCATTCCATGAATTTGAGATTACAAATGTTTTTGAAGGAGCTCGTATGTCACATCATCCTTCTAGGATGATTATCCTGGATAAGAACCCATGTTACTCTGTCACAACATTATCAAGAACTCAAGTTCTTGAACCTTAAAGGCTAACAAAATCTGTTTCCGCATAACCTTTCGTGAGCTGCATTTGCGGATGCTACTGAACTCCTCTTTGGTCATCCCTCTGCGCAGTGATGTTGATTTGAAGTCTAGTGTGACATAACAATTCCCAATTTTAAACTTAGATCAGGGGGGGCTGACTTCATAAAATGGAAGGGGGCGTGGCTTGTAGAAATCTGAACAGGCAAATTGTCTCTTCTTTGGACAGATACACTCCATGGAGGGGAGCATTTGTAAGGATATTTCAGAAGCCCTCCTCCTCTATTTTGGTATTTTAATTGGGAAAATTGAATCCATTTAAAACAACAGAGTCTTCTGGCATTAAAATAAAACAGGAGTCCAGTGGCACATTTGTTATGGCATAAAGTTTTCTGAACCCACTTCACCAAATGCATGAAGTGTTAGACCCACAGAGTATGTAACGATTGTATCTGAAAACATATGCCACAACAAACTTCGTGATTATTTAGAGCCAAAAAACTATTTGGCTGCTTCAGAGTAACATAAATCCATTCATGGTATTGTATTATGAGAGCCCTGTTTCAGCATTCACTATGACTACTTTGAAAGTATGGCATGGATTGATTTTTTTTACAAAATGCACAAACAATAATAAAGTATCACTTAGGGCTGAACCAGACTTGATGTGAAGGATCCTGCTATGGGATCTTCTGTGGCTTTTAAATATTAAGTGCTAATTTGCTTTTCCAGGCAGCTACTTTAAGGATTGGGGGAGAGAGAGGAGAGGATGTTTATTTAACCCTTTGCCTTTTTGTGTCTTCCATGAGTTTAACGCTTTCCATTATTTAAATGCCAATTTGGTGTAGTGGTTAAGAGCCCGGACTCTAATCTGGGAGAACCAGGTTTGATTCCCCACTTTTCCACATGCAGCTGCTGGTGTGACCTTGGGTCAGTCATAAGTTCTTTCAGAGCTGTTCTCTCAAGGACAGTTTGAGAGCTCTCTCAGCCCCACCTACCTCACAGGGTGTCTGTTGGGAGGGGAAGGGAAGGGGATTGTAAGATGCTCTGAGACTCCTTTGGGTAGTGAAGGGCAGGGTATGAATCCAATCTCCTCCTCCTCCTCTTCTTCTTCTACTTCTTCAAGAGGTAATTTACTATTGTGGGAAAATATACGAGTTCACATGCCAGAGTCTGCATTTTCCTGCAAGAGCCAATTGTAGCTTTGAAGAGAGATTTTTTAATCATGGAAGAGACATACGGGCAGATAGGTAAATATTCTCTTTCCTGCTGCACTGAACAACTAAGGAACTAAGGAGAAAAATGTCCCGTCCCTTTACTAGAGGCTTAATATGCAGAAATGGGCAGCTGAAGCTTTTCATGGCTTGGAGGGAAATAACGTCCCGTTAAGCCTCTATTCAAGGGATAGGAGGGTTTTCTCTCTCTCCAGGCATTGGGCATCCCTACCATCCATTTTTCCCCAGTCTTCCAAACACAGGCTGCCTGGGACTGCGTTCAGATGTGGTTTGCCATTGCCTGGCCCGGGTGTTCCTTGGAGGTCTCTTATCCAAATGTTAGCCAGGGCTGACTCTGTTTGGCTTCTGAGATCTGATGAGATCAGGCTAGACTTGACCATTCAAGTCAGGGTGGAATACCCCATACTTGCCCCTTAACTGATCATGCATGCCTTATATTCCCCCTGTTCTTCTAAATACCCACTGAATAGAAAATGTAATGTTACCCAGGGGTGCCAGTTTGGTGTAGTGGTTAAGTGTGCGGACTCTAATCTGGGAGAGCCGGGTTTGATTCCCCACTCCTCCACTTGCACCCGGCTGGATGACCTTGGGCAAGCCGTAGTTCTGATAAGAGCTGTTCTTGAAAAAGAGACGTTTCTGTCAGAGCTCTCTCAGCCCCACCTACCTCACAGGGTGTCTGTTGTGGGGAGGGGAAGGGAAAGGAGTTTGTAAACTGCTCTGAGACACCTTTGGGTAGTGAAGGGCGGGGTATAAATCCAATCTCCTCCTCTTCTTCTTCTACATGACTATCAGGGCACAGTGAATTTTTCCCCTTGAGATTCAGTTCTGTTACCCTCCCACAAGAGATTTAACAGGCATACTGGGCAGTGAATGAAATACTGATTTGGCATTCTTTTTCCTTCCTGATAATTCTCTTTGCCTTTGTTATTTTAAAGCGCCATATGTATAGTTATTCAATGAAAGCACATTTGTCTCCTTCCCCTTAGAAAAAGAACAACAGAATTCTTAAAACATTGAAATGCTGGCTCAGGGAAGTCTGGGGCATGGGTTGGTGGTAACATGACTGGTTTCTGGCGCATCAGAGCCAGGCACAGTTTGCTTTTACTATAAACTCACAGAACCAGTTTCCTATAAACTCAGTCCAGGAGAGAAATTTGCATGGTTAAACAACATTTGTAGATTATGTGTTTCCACAGTATTGCTCAAACTGTGCGCGTATCTCCAAAGTGTGTGGAATTTACTGCCACAGGATGTGGTGGCTGGAAGCATTTTTTGAAACTATTAGAGAAATCTTGAAGGACCAATACCTATTAGCTGGCTATTGTGGGACCTTCCATACCTGATACTGAGGAGGATTCATTGGGAGGAAAGCTGTCATGTCCTGTTTCTAACTTTCCAGGTCAATTGGGTGGAAACAAAGTGCTGGATATGGTTGTCAGCAGGGGTCATTTCATAGAAAAAGAGCTAGGGGAACTCATTAGCATAAATCATTAGCATATGCCACACCCCCTGACATCACCTGAAGTGTGTCATAAGGCCACACACCCCGCCCCCAACGGTCCCAGCCGCCGCCGGCCTTGCAGCTCCACTGCCGAGCCCCATGAGGGGCCCAGTGGTGGACCTGCAAGGCCGGCGGGAGTGCAAGGAAGCCCCGCAAAGGCCCTCCCTGGCCCCAGGCAGGCAGGGGTGGGTAGAGGCAGGGAGGAAGCAACTTACCCTCCCTCTTCTCCTGCCTCCTCCTGGCTGAATGGGAGCCGGAAGCAGGGGGCGGGGCTTCGTCATGTGCCCCGCCCCCTGCACCTCACCCGGGGGAACTGCGATCCCCCGCGATCCCCCCCCCGAAATGACCTCTGGTTGTCAGCCACACACACACACACCCCGGTGAAGGCAGAGGTCATGGCCTGGGTCTTTCTCTTTGCAAATATCCCCCCTCATCCCATTCCAGTTGCCAGGACGGACCTGGCAACCCTAGTGCTGGACTAGATGGACTTTAGTTGACCTTGCAAGGTAGTTGTGCTGCACCAATACAATGGCTAAAGGCTACTTTCACTGTTGTTTTCCATTGAAAGTGTATTGGGTCTTCGTAGGAAATCTTCATGTCTTACATAACGATCATCAAAGAAATGTGGGGACACTAAATGGAGGTGATTTGGCTCTGAAATTACGATCATATGTGATGTAATAAAACTATTGGTGTAATCCAGCCAAAGCAAAACATTTTTGGAGTCCCATGGATTTCAGTTCCTCTGTGGAGCACATGCTTAAATATTCCCAGTTGAAAGCAATGGAATTTCAAAACATTTAAATTGTGGCTGGGCCATACACCCAGATATATTTTTCAAGCAAAATATAAACAGCATGGAGGCTGGCATTCTGCCATAATATATGTGATGCATAATTGTTTGCCACTCACAGTCACCATAATGGAAAAAACAAATTAGTGATGAATCAGCAGAAAA